CGAGTGGAATGATCTAGTGCTCATACGCGTGCACTGTTGTGATTTAGTCGCAAATTGTTCGAAATGGTTTTTCCCTGAACGTCACACGGTCGTTTGCAGAATATTTTCGCTCGCCTGATTGATTGAATGTCCCTCGGTTGTTCTTTGTCAGATCTAATGAACAAGCCTGAAAAGGGACCTGAGAAATACCATTATACAATCAGGTTAAAACACCCCTCTCTTCCTTGTGGTCAACCTCAGTATAACACGAAGTGGTCATTCCGGATAAGCTCAACGGTAATATTTTCAATTTTTAGTTTCATCCAAGTTTGGTGTTGCTTCTCATTAGCCGCCAGCACTTCCTTGGTGCGGTAAATTATTCTTGTGCTCCCACATCTATATTCATTATGCCACTACCGATGCTATGACGTCCTTCGAATCGCCGCAAACATCCCGTGTAGGCCTTCGGTTCAATGAAGTGCAGTTCGATACTGCGGTAAATTGACTTTTTATCGATTTTGATGCCTCATATATAAATGTTTTGTTGTGCCAACTGCAACTAGGGTCACAGTGGGCAGCTAAATTTTGGGGACACACTGTGGCAGGGAAATCGTTTTCGTTTCGTGCTACGGCTGTTACTTCGCATTGCTGATCTTTTATTTAACAAAACTAACATTATTGATAGGAATAAATCGAGCAAAGTAAATATTTCTCTCGGGAAGACGCAGACTTACGCCACTCAGGTTCTGACCAACCACCTATGTTAGGAGTTGAGATGTATGGACTATAATGCCAGGACAATATTCTATAGCTTTATTGGAACTACTTAAACATGACAGAGTAGTCAAACTACAAGCTGAGAAAGGCTCCACAATCTTTACACAAGGACAGGACCAATTGAAAAACGTAATGAAAATTTAAAGAAAAAAGGAGCGAGAGAGACAAGGGGCGGGTAGCCCTTTTGTGAAACGCTCACCGCGTTGAAATCGAGTGAGAAAGAGCCATCAGTTTTAGTCCGACTGCGGCCATTCTTTTTCAGGTGGATCAATAGAGCAATCAAAGTTCAAACTACACGATTCGACGAGGGGTAACGCTAGAGTAGGGTGCGATCGACTGAATCGATCGAAGACCGCTTTTAGATCAATGGAGACGGAAATGGTGCGGGTCACAGAAAGAATGGTTCTATTTGAAAATTTTTCCAAACGCCGGAGATATGGTCAAGGAGACATCTCTGAGATCCTAAATCTGCCTGATTCTCAAGCATGTGGCACCCGGCCGACGGGGCATGATACCATCGGGAAGATTCGCGGTGGTTACTCAAGCCAAATCCTCAGTGGTTTTACCAAGTGGCTCCTTCCTCTTTCTGGTTAAACGGAAACAAAACTGATTCGCAAGATTCCGCTGGAACTTGTCCGCTTTCCCGTACTACATCCTCATCCTGACAGGGATAGGAACATTGACTCTCCGCAGACGAGTTACAACACGGATTAAACAGTTATCTAGTGGGCTTTCAAAACCAAACAAAAAACTTTATTTTTACATAATAATTTGAAATCGTGTTCCGATTGGACACCTGAAGCGTTTTTTTAATTATCCATCAGCACTTTACATCTGTTAACTGTCACCTGCCAGAGGACAGGTATTCCTTCCACGAAAGCTCCAAACTCAGTTTGGAAATCGTAATTTTCGAGAAATCAACATAAAATGTTCATGTAGGGTAAACGAAGGCAAACAGAAAAAACATTTTTGGAAAAATAATCGAATTGTTTACACTTGACAACGTAGATGGTCAGAGCGATCTAGTTTTTTTTCTTCAAATGCGAAGTAAATAATAGTAAACAAGAAACATAATTATCAAAGTGAAAGATTATAAAATCGATTTTAAACTTATTGTTTCATTGTATGCAATTTTGGTTCCCCTATGCGCGCCCTCATTTGGAAACTTTCCACTATTCATGACTGCTCAACTGCGTAAACATGATGACTGAGTAGACAGGATTGATTTGTAGAAAATCACAGTTGAGGGTGTGAAAGAATGTTTCTGAATAATGAGGCAGAATGGAGGACAGGGAAGTGAATTCGGCCCGTTTGGGGGAAGGAGAAACCGTTTTTATTGAAAGAAGTTACTCAATGTGGCCCCGGTTCCTTTCACCTGCCCTGCCCGTCCACATTCGCTACGAGCCATGAGACGACATGCGCGGGTAATCCCGATTCGCATATGCTCCATACTCAAGATGGGAGGATCTGTGACCTCGGTCATTATGTGCAGGATTTGTTGCAGTGTGTTTCCCACCAATGCCGGTGGAGATCGAGGCCAAACGGCTTGAGCCAGGAACGTGGGCAGCCCATCGAAACCAGGATCGTCTTCCACCTCGTTAAGTGTAGGCATGAATAGGTATCCCATGTTTTCCGATCCAGTATCCGAACTTCCCAGCGCTCGTTGAGCCAATTTACGAAGTACGCTCCAAGTGACCTGCGGAAAGTTGAATGAAAAGATTCGTTATTGATAAATACTGTTCTTGAGAATGACGTGACGACACGGATGGGTTTAAGCTCATGCCTACTGCTTTACCCGATCTCCTCTACACGGTACAATTCAATCTAGTTCGATAAGACCTCCACCAATTGTGTGAAAATTTGTTCCCTCGTCAGCCTTGGAGTTGGAAAAGCTGAAATCAACCTTAGTCAATGCATGTTCTTAAGTTGATGATAAATACCGTTCGTGAGTAAAGTCGCCCCAAATGAAACTATACCATTTTAAGGTAGATTTGAGAAAATATAATTTTCATTTGCGAAACCGTCATTTGGAGTTGAGGAAGAAACACTGTGAGTGGACCCGAGCATCTCGTCGAGCTCTGTGACGGATGTCGACTCGTTGGGTCGGTGAAGCCATGCTATTTGCGTGTGACAGCCAAGCTGAATGCCACTCGATGTACACGAAGGGTGACGCACTGTTTCGTGCGCATTACAGCTAAAGTACATTTGTTCGTAGTTGGTCTAACAGTGACGATAGCTCGATAATCAAAGCTGACCACAGTGAATACGGCCACGGACGTGTTTTGTGCTTACGGTGTAATTCGAGCGATGTACTTTTCATTACGAGTGTCATGGGTCCATATGAATAACAATATTTGTCCAGTGACAGAGGCTGGAATTCTTGAGGTGAACATAGATGAATTGACTGGCTGTCATCAAGGCTCTAGCAACCAAAACCTCGCCAATTCCTGGCTCAGCTCGACTGCCTCATTTCTGCCTCATTTCCACACATAAAGAGCGTGGGAAGACAGGTGGTCAATCCGGGGGTAGGAAAAATGTGTGATCAATTGTCCAATGAGGTGCGCTGAAAGGAAGCGGGTCCACTCACAGTATTTCTTTCTCAATTCCAAGTGATTGTTTCTCAATTTCAAATGACGGTTTCGCAAATGAAAATTATATTT